CTACCTGGCAGGCGCAGGGGGTGTGGGGCGGCTCTGGGGGAGGGGTATAGTATTGCTTAACGAGTGTTTTGTGTGTGTTCATCTAGACATGGTGCAAGGTACAAGGTGTCTGATCTGTGGGAAGGAACAAAATATAGAAAACAGAAATCTCTGAAAACAGAGCTCATATTTGTAGATAATATCATAATTGCTTTCTTCAAAAAAATTTAGTTGTAGATGAACATAATACCTTTACTTTATATATTTTTGTGTGGTGCTGAGGATAGAACCCAGTGCCTCCAACATGCCAGGCAAGCACTCTACCACTGAGCCACAACCCAAGATCCCATAATTGCTTTTTATTTGACCTTTCCTTATGTTGATTTAAATTTCTTTTGAAAACAATCCAGAGCATTTCCTACTTCTTTTAAGATTCCTGAATTTTCCCTACCCACCAGGAGTTCCTACTTTTGAAGAGTAAGTAAAAAGAGACCCTTGAAGGACTAAGTATTCCTGTTGTTTGTGAACCTGCTAGTCTAGCCTTTGGTGTAATAATTTCTCAAATGCACATTCAGTCCAGATTGAGGCTGATTTTATTTTTCTAGTGAAATCTGAGTTTCCACACTTTCCATCTGCCATGGCTGCAACTATTTCAATATGTACCAGGGTCCTGGGCAATCCATCCTTTCCCCAGGAGTCTGCTGAAAGTAATTATTTTAGGAGCAGCAAGTCAGAGCATGCTAGTTCCCCCACACAATTCTCCTTTTAGTCTTCCTTGTTGCTCTTTCCCCTTTGTTTTTGCCTTAATCAGTTCTCATATTTCTCCTCACCTATTCTAAATTTTTGTTTATGGTAAACAAATTATCTTCTATTATATTAGCCTCTATGTACTGTATTAGGTTACATCTCTTTACCGTTTCCCCTGGCCTTTAATTTGCTTCAACTCCATCTTTTTTCTTTCTCTCTCTGTCTTTCTTTTCCTCCTCCTCCTCTTTTTTCCTCCTCCTTCTCCTCTTCTTCTTCCTCCTCTTATTCCCCCTCCTCCTCTTCCTCCTCTTCTTCCCCCTCCTCCTCTTCCTCCTCTTCTTCTTCGTGGTCTTCCTCCTCCTCCCCCCCTTCTCCTTTTCTTCCTCTTCCTCTTCCTCCTCCTCCCCCCTCCCCCTCCCCCCTTGTACATGGGAGGCAAGCACTCTGCCAACTGAGTTATATCGCCAACCCTCAGTTCCATCTTTTAGTGGTTGCTATTTTTTTCCTGATATACCTTGTGAGTAGGAGGTATTATGAATCAGTTTCTCCTCCATTTTCAGTGATGTACCAGGTTATTCTTCCACTCTTTCATTTAACACCAAATAAGAACAGGTTAACAAAATGATTTTGGTTCTTTTCAGGCACATTTACTAACCCTCATTTTGCTGTCAATTTTCTTTTTTTCTTTGACAACTTTGGTGCCTAGATATGGTCTCTATTTTTACCCTGGCTTGCCTTCGTCTTCGTTCATTTGGTAGCAATAGCCTCTTAATCTGTAATTTCCCCAGGTTAAACCTATCTGGACATTTTTGTTTATATGGTGTGAAATAAATCTGACCATTCAAAGAGACAGATTATGTTTATAAATCCCTCCATATATTAGGTTTTAGAAGATAAAGTATAAGAAATCTTGTGGTTTTTGTTTAAAATGTTAATTTTATATTCATGAATGACAGATTTGAAATTATATGTGGTTATATCATGATAGTGATTCAAAAGAGGAATTTTGCTAACTATTGTGGTAGAAAGAGCACCGAATAGCACATGTCTGGCTACATTTGCAAGTCCCTTAATTTTTCACTGTTTTTTTTTTCTACTTCAAAGTGGAGAGAGTAATATCTAATTCATAGTTGTTGAACCCTAAAATGCAATTACGTATGTGTATTATGTGTGTTTTGTAAACTTTGAGAGACTTATGTTTAAGATCTAATAAAAATTAGAGAAACTTCCCTCCTAAAATGGATCATAAGGTTGCTCCTTACATTATCCCATAAAAACATTGCTTTCCCTACACTCTGTTTTTCTTCAGGAAATGAAGAAGTATTAAAAAAAAAAAAAAAAAGGCCGCATGTGGTGTTTCATTTCTCATAATAGAGAAAAGGGACTCCAGTGAACATTATTCCATTAAGATGTTATAAGCTTAAGGAAAATCCATTCAACTATTATTTCTATTCTTGATATTATATTAATATTATCTGTTTAATGTTTTATTTACAGTTATATGATGTTGATTGATGGCACAAATGAAGTTTTTATGATTGATAGAGATAATTCAGTATTTCATGTTTCAAATTTGGAATTTCCATTTCGTAAAGATCTCCGAATGCATTTATCAAACACTCTCTTGGATGGGGTAAGTCATATTTATTTTAAAATGTGTACAAAATTAAACATTGCTATTTTTCTTTTCCTTATAAGTTAATGTGTATTTTTATTAAGAAGTTAAGAATTGGGTCTATTTTTTTTTTTGGTACCACGAATTGAACCCAGGGGTGCTTAACCACTGAGCCATATCCTTAGCCCTTTTGATATTTTATTTAGAGACAGGATCTTGCTAGGTGCTGATGCCGCATCAATGTTTATAGCAGTACAATTCACAATAGCTAAATTGTGGAACCAACCTAGATGCTCTTCAATAGATGAATGGATAAAAAAAAAAATGTGGCATATATACACAATGGAATATGGCATTTGCAGGTAAATTGATGGAGTTAGAGGAGATAATGCTAAGTGAAGTTAGCCAATCCCCCAAAACCAAATGCCCAATGTTTCCTTTGATATAAGGAGGCTGATTCATAGTGGGATAGGGAGGGAGCATGGGAGGAATAGACGAACTGTAGATAGGGCAGAGGCGTGGGAGGGGAAAGGAGGAGGCAAAGGGTAATTAATGATGGTTGAATTGATGATCCTTATTATCCAAAGTACATGTATGAAGACATGAATTGGTGTGAATATACTATGTATACAGAGATATGAAAAATTGTGTTCTAGGTGCAATAAAAATTGTAATGCATTCTGCTATTATATATAAATAAAAATAAATTAAAAAAATAGAATTAAGCACTAAATAAATAAAAAAAAAAGGCTGGATTTGTTTAAACAATTTGAATTTCAGCTTGGCTTTCTTCAGGCCTCGCTAGATCTGGGGTCTCAAATGATACTGTTTATGCTCTATTTTGCTCTTCATCCTTTTGTTCTGCTTGTCTGCTTGGTCCCTTTCTGTATGAAGACTCTTTCCACATGGAGACATGTTGCATTACAGCCCAAACGGAAAGAGAACTTTTTCTCTTAGGACCCATCTGTCTTATATATACGTCGGGGAATTACACTGGAGGCTTGTATTCATTGGTTGCATCACCACTTGTAGTGTAGTAGGAGTACTGTTCCCATGAAATGCATGTATGCCATGCTGGGATCAAGGATATGCCCATTTAAAATGTTAAGATGTATAATTGTCACCTTTATTTCTGGACACATGTACAGTTATACTAACTGTATGTGGAGGATCTGCACATTTCCTTAAACACTGTTTTGGTTTAATATTTTTTAATTTGATAAGAATGGCTTTTCATTTAAAGGGATAGTATAGCCGTGATTAAGTGCCTCAACTACAGGTGCCTCCCTAGCTTCTCCAGTTATTGCATGAGGGACCCTATTCAGTATACTTAATTTCTTTTTGTAGTGAGAGGAGGTTAATAATAGTACTTAATTCTTTGTGCTTTTGTGAAGATTTAAGTTGGAAAGTTTGTAAGATCATGATATTAGTGTGTGGCATGTAGTAAAAAAAATTTTTTCCTCTTCTGATTTTCTTTTATGTGAATTGTTAATGAGGCTTAACATTTTTTACTGTAGTATGAGTTATTGTATTTCTTCTGTGAGTTGCTTATTCAAATCCTCTCCATATTTTTCAACTGGGTGTTCATCTTTTTCCCATTGATTTATGAGGTCCTCTTATTAGGGTTGTGTTATGTCCTGTATTTTGAAAAATGTATTTCCTTTTTTTGGTATTTATTCTAGCACATAGAAGCTTAAATATATGTAGGGTAAGCAGGGGATGTAGCCTACTGATAGAGTGCTTACCTAGGTCTTTGAGGCCTTGGTTTATCATTGTTTGTTTCTTAATTCACATTCCTATTCCATTAATGTTTTTATCTTCTAGTGGTCATTTGAGATTATTTTAAATACCATTGTTTTAGCGTACACTTCAGTGTCTGACAGTCCAGGTACGTGCACCTAGTTTTAGCTATTCTGATGTTTGCCACTTAGATTTTATTCTTTTCTTTGGCTTTTGGTGAACAGGTTTTGAAATTGATAAACTAGACTAGACTCATATGTTACACCTATGAATATGCTGATCTATACAACAATAAACTTATTTTTTTTCCTATAAAGTAATTCTGGTAGGCTTGTATACAGACTATTCACTTTACTGGTTGCCATGGCTAGCTTTTCTTTTCTGCCACATTGTCACTGCCTTTGTTTGCAAGGTAAGAGACTCCCTTGTAGATAGATGTTCATGGGAATAGCAGGAATATATTGGTTCTTATTACCTTTATTTTATTTAAGGTGTAGTATTTTAGGCATTATAATGAATAAAATAAAAGGAAGAAAAGGACTTTTTAAGTAACAGCATTTGCCAGAGTTTAGTGTGTTGAATGAATATTTGTTGAGTACCTTTCAGGTTGGTGTCAAGAGTGCAGGCATTACTTAGACAATTATTTAGAAGGCCACCTCACTCTGAGACATTTTACTTAATTGGGCAGGATGTAGAATGATTGGTAATGATGCAAGAGAACTTTAAATAAAACTCTAATCCAAAGAGGTATTTAAAACAAGTGCTATGGTAGTTTAGAGGAAAAATAAGACACATCTAAGAAATGGAAGATAGCTATAGAAAAAGATTTTTGTTGGAGACGGGCTAAGTGCATTCCAGGTAGGAAATAATCCTTAAAAATATGTTTAAAGATCTACAGATTTAACTTAGTAATACTATTTATTTTCACCCTATAAATATAATAGATTCTTGTGAGGATTTTAAATAGCAATATGATTCATGATGTCAATTTTCTTGGGCCAGAATTATAGTTGCCATATCTGTTTTTCTAGTTAGTTAATTAAAACAGCCTGCTGTAATTTCCTGTTTCTTCTGTATTTTCACTTGAAAATTGTTTTTGTAAGATTCCAAATCCAAGAATAACTGATACTACCTGGTTGTCTGACTGTCGGATGTGAGCACTGAGGCTTTGTTTTGCTCTGCTAAATTATGTTCCTTGACCCACAAAATGTGGAAATGGGCGTTTAGAAATATGGCATTAATTCAGTTGAACCAAGTCTGTGAAATTTAATCAATTTAACATGAAGCTAAGAAAAAGGATTTCGCAGTTAATCATTAAAGTTAATAGGAAGAATTTTGGAAAAAGAGAATTTTAAAAAAACATTTTGATGTATTTCCTTTTAGTCATTTTATTGTACCTATATTACAAACCATATATAACTGATACATACATAGCTGAGATTTAATATATATTTTGTATCTGGGGTTTTATCATTCTCTTCTATCTGAAGAACTGCTTTTAGATTTTTTTAAAATTTAGTTTTATTTTTTAAAAAAATTGAGATTCGACTCACATACCATTTTCAGGTGTTCAGAGTTTTAGTATATTCACAAGATTGGCAACAGTTTCTGCTATATAATTCCGGAACATGCTATCACTTATGATAATTAGAGCCAAATGGTCTGATCTAAAAGAATTGAAGGGATGGATTGCTAAGAATGAGCTTCAGAGGTTCACTGGTTTTTGAGAGAACAGTTGAGGAGAGGAAAGAGATTACTTCCTTCTTTTCATTAAAATCCTTCATTGGTTTCTCATTATCTATCGCATAAAGGCCAAACTACTCAGACTTGTATTCTTTTATATCTGAAGCATGCCTATATCTTCAGTCTTATTTTTTATTGTAATCCTAAACCATAAGTTCCACTACATTGAAGTTTGGACAATTTATCTAAAACCATCTTTTTTTTTTGAGTTTTTCTTACACCATTTGTTTAATTCACTTTCCTGCTGGAAAATATCCTCCACATTTTTCAGGATTCATTTAATGGTATTTACTTTATTATAAACTTTGTCTTATGCTTTAAGTAGAAATAACTACCACTGCTTAGGCTTATACCATATGTCCTAATTTGGCTGGGATAGTATATATACATGCTTGTTGTTTAGGTATCATTATAAATAACTATCTGTTTCACTCTCAAAAGTATCCTGGTATGGACAGTAAATTACATGTTCATTATTTTCTTCTCTTTCTAGGGATCATTTTTCAATTTCTCTAGCACTTAGAACTATGCCTAATTCTTAGTTTGGACTTAAGAAATATTGGTTGGGGAGACAGAAGGTTTGTGTACCTGGGGACTTTGAATATAGAAAGGGCAGAGGATGGAAAGGTGAGCATGCTGACTTATTTGAGATAGGTGGGTATGGTAGGGGCTATATTGAAGAATTCAAGCCTCAAATTTTTCCAAAGCATCATTTGAAAAACAGTGGTGCCATTTCTAGTAATTTCTTGCGGAATATAAAGTTGATGCTGTATGTTGATGTGGTTTTTTGCAAGATTCTTGTGCTTGGGATTTGTTGAATTTCTTTTATCTATGCATTTATAATTTCCATTGGTAGTAGAAAAAATTTTATCTCACCCCTTGGACATATAATTATTAATGCTCTTTTCATTTAAACAATTGTTTTTTCTTTCCTGTTTATTTTTATTTTCAGATTTACTACCCCTTTTTTTCCTGTGCTGTCTAAAATGCTTTTAATATCAACCATAGTATTTTTCATCTTACATTATAGTTTTCACCTATGAAATTTATTGAGTCTTTTAAAAAATCTCTTCTGTGATTCCACTTAGTATTTTGAAATATTATATATGAATTTAATAGTATGCTGTCTTAATGTTTTTATCTGTTAATTTTAGCATCTCCGTCAGTTTTGGGCCTGTTTCAGTTCATTTTTATGGATCATATTTAAATGCCTGGTAAATTTTGATTGTCAGGCATTTTGAATTTTACCTTGTTGGGAGGGGTTCATACATCTTCTGAGCTTTGTTCTGGAATGCAGTTACTTTATTTGGAACTAATTTGTTCCTTTCAGATCTTGCTTTTGAGATTTGTTTGGTGGACCAGAGACATCTTTAATAAAGTTCTTTTTCTACTATTGAGACAAGATCCTTCGGAGTACCTGATCCTCTATGGATTATTTAATCTGCCTGGTAGGAATAGGCATTATTTCTGTCCCTGTACTGGACATTGGATTCTGTTCTCTATAGATGTTTTCTTGCCTGGTCTTGGGTCTCCTTATTGCATATTTAAGTACTGATGAGCATTATACTAAATATTTGTGGGGAGTTTGTGGTACACATTTTGACAGATATCTGGAGTTCTTTCTCTGGGTAGATTTCTCTGTCCTTTTAAACTCTTTCCTGAGAATATTAGCTGCATTGGTCTCCTTAGACAACCTATTCAATTTTTTAAAAACTCATAGAGATCATGAGTCTTCATTTATTTTATATTATTTATTTATTGAGACAAGGTCTATGTTGCTGAGGCTTGAGCTTGTGATCTTCCTCCCTTAGCCTCCTGAGTTTCTGGTACTATAAGCATGCACCACCATGCCAACTAGGCTTCATTTATGATCCCCTTGCCTGCATTAGATTCTGGAAACTCTCCTTGGACAATACTTGGGACAATTGCAGGGGTCACTGAGTCTGATTACTGACCTTTGTTACCAAATATCCAGTATCAGGAAAAAAACATTGATTCATGTGCTGTTCATATCTTTGGTTGTTTTAGGCAGAAGAATAAATCCAGTGCATTTATGCTCTTTTGATCTGTCCTAACTATAGTTTTTTTTTCTTTTAAAAATTTTAATTGTGGTAAGAAACAGATAACAAAAACTTAACATCTTGGCCATTTTTCAGTGTATATTCAGTAGCGCTAATATTAGCATTATTGTGCAGTAGTTCTCTAGAACTTTTTTTAATCTTGTAAAGCAAATCTTTACCATTAAGTAGCAGTAGCTCCTTCTCCCTTACTCACCCTGAACAATCACCATTCTACTTTGTTGTTGTTTGAATTTAAATACTTCAGATACCTCATGAAAGTGAAATCATACATTAGTTATATTTTTGTGTGACTGGTTTATTTACTTTAGCATAATATCCTCAAAAGTTTGTCCATGTTGTGGCATGTGACAGGATTTTTCCCTTTTCAGGGCTAAATAATGTTCCATTATATGTACATACTCCTATTTTGTTTATTTGTTCATCCATCAGTGTATTCTTGGGTTACTCCCCACCTCTTGGCTATTGTGAATAATTCTGCTATGAATATGGGTTTACAAATATCTCCTTGAGACTCTACTTTTAATTCCAAATTCTTAATTTTTAAATTTCTTTTAATTGCTTTTAATTATTTTGTCTGTATGCCCAGAAAGGGATAGCTGGATTATATGGTACTTTTATTTTAAATTCTTTTCAGGAAATTAACATATTGTTTTCCATAGTAGTTGTATCATTTTACAAACCCAGCAGCAGTGCACAGGAATTCCAATTTCTCTGTGTTTTAAGCCATATAGTTTATGTTTAACCAGTTTGCTCTAGCATAGGGCAGTTGTTGCAGTTGTAGAGAAGGGGACATTGTGATGGTGGGGTCTTTGGGAAGAACTCAGTATCCCAATATTTTCCCATTACCAGCTAACTCAGAAGTGCTGTTCTTTTGCAAGAATTTTTGATGGATGTCTTCTTTACTTAATTGGAAGCAGTATTTTATTGCAATAATGCTCAGCTTATTGCTGCACTACAGTGTGGAGTCCTAGACCTTTTACTTCAGACAGAAAAAGTGTTCAGCTATTTTTATTACTCTTAAGTCAGAATAGGGAAAAAATGAAGAAAAGAAAACCACTTCTTTACTTCTATTTATATTTGATTGTGATAGTAAGAATTATCAGATATTTGTCATCTGTTTTTAAACATTTTTTTTCAGATGTGATGGACCTTTGTTTTATTCATTTATTTATATGTGGTGCTGAGAATCAAACCCAGTGTCTCACACATGCTAGGCAAGCGCTGTACCACTGAGCCACAACCCCAGCTCCAGATATTTGTCATCTTACAAACAGGGCTTCTAAAGGTTTAGTTTTCTTAGGGACTGAGTGATTTTCTTTGTTTGTTTCACTAGACTCTTGGTAGTTTCTTGGCTGTCAGTTTAAAGCCTGCATATTTTGTTATTCCTTTTTACTTATTTTGTTTGCTAATAATAAATTTGTTTTTTGACTTTTAAACATCATATCTAAAGGAAAACATATTCTCGTTCATCTTATAAGGGAAATTGGGGAGAAAAATTCTGTGATATCTACTGTCTCTGGTGTATATTTTATTTCCAACCTTGCAGTTTTGAAAACAATAATTAATTGAAACTTTTTATTGCTCTACTACCTTGTGACTGTGTAAAATGCGCAGATACAAGTATTTAAATTAAAATATTTCAGTAAACATTTTAAAATAACAAATGTGGCTTATGTCATGTATTGGGTTAAAGATGATAACCATTAGTAAACGTCTAAGTTAACAAACACATATTCAGGAAATTAATTAATTGGTAATATTTTCTTACAATGGCAAAATATATTTTCCGTAGTGTTTTAAAAATAATTTTAGAAGGTAGTATATGAATTTTCTGTCATGAATTTAGATAGCAAGAAAAGTTGCCTAATTTCTTAGGAAGAATATGAGGCAATAAAATTATTTTAGGCAAAAAACCTTTAAAATTTTATCAAATAATGCATTATATATTTGTAATCCTCATCTAGTGTCCTTATTTCTTCTTTTCCCTTCTACATTTTTTATTGGTGAATTATAGTTGTGCATAATGATGGAAAATGTTGTTACATACTTGTACATGCACACAATATAACAATATAATTGGACCAATATCACTCCCCAGCACTTTACACTGTCTTCCTTATAGTGGTTTTATTTCTGTCAGAGTGTAGAATTTGTTTAACTTTTTATTGACTTTGATAACTTTTTGGAGATCTCTCCATAAATCCAGAATTAATAAGAGTGCCATTTATAATTATAGAATTTATGGTCAAAGTAATTGTCATAATAAAATTTAAAGTAATAAGGATTAAACAAAATTTATTATAAAAATGATCTTGATTTTTAAGTTTTAGATACTGATTTTAAAATTTATAGTCTCTTTACCCTTAAATGTTGCCTAGTAATTCAGACATTAAACAAAATATTATATAGCAATTTAAATATAAAAAATATAATGAAGAGATACTCTCATGATTTTATTTTAATATATAACAAAAGCATAATGAAGATTTTCAGAGTGCTGTTTAAGACTTGATCTGGGTACAGTTATATTCACTTTGAAATTTCATCAAGTTGTATACTTAGGATTTATGTACTATTGATTGAAATAAATATTACTATTTATGTACTACTTGATTGAAATAAAGTAAATTGTTATTAAAGTATGAAAACACTTATCTTCTTTTCTCTTTCAAGGAAATGATTATTGACAAAGTAAACGGACAGGCTGTTCCTAGATATTTGATATATGACATAATTAAATTCAATGTAAGTACCTTATATAATTTGTAAAATTTATATTTTATAGAATAAAAATTGTGACTGAAATAATAGATATATTTTAATTTAATTTCTTTTTTTATTTGGTGGTTGTGGGGATTAGACCCAAGGCCTTACATTGTACCTCTGAGCCATATCCCCAGCCCAGTAGGTATTTTATTTGTTACCATCTCAATGATAGTAGGAAAGAAAAATTGTGATTCAGGTTACTCATTGAACATCTCTTTTGTTAATACTTTTATATGTACTTTTCTTTATCTTATTGCCTAATACATAACATATATCTTTGCCTTTAGATTTCTTTAAGTTCAACTTAGTCAAGAAAAACAGTTCAATTCTGATAGAATAATACATTCTTTTGTAAAATGAATGTTTTTTGATTTTAATTATCCTGTGATTAAAATGCCCACAAGCTTTGTTTCTGTCACTTAAAAAAAAAAGAAAAAGAAAAAGAAAAAGAAGTTATGAGTTTGAATATGTACTTGTAGGTACAAATATACTATTCATGAATATAAGCAAGAAACAGAAATAAAGTACAAAATTTCCCAAAATAAAATACAAAATAGGTATAAAAAATTAGAAATTTAATTTCTAACCATTTACTATATATTAGATTACCCCAAAATCTTTTCCTATTCATTTTAATTAAAATATGAATATCTAAATTATTTAGACATTACAAGACAACTTCTAAAATATGAAAACCTCAAGTATATTTCTATAAAAAGGTATAATCATTCCTCTACATGTATATTATTCAAATTGTATAATCATGTGTTATTCAAGCCAGACTGAAAACATTTAAGTATTCTGGAATTAAAAGTATCTAAGTTTTATATGTTTTTCCTTGTACACGTGTGTGAAAGTTTCTCTGTGACAGTCGTTCTCATTTTGGGGATATATTCACCTGGGAAGTTTTTGATTATTTTCATTTGAAGTGTTTTTAAAAGTCCAGTCTCTCATTATTATATCATGGCATTTTTGATTAAATTTTCAACATCAATTTCATTAGCTGCTTTTCTATATTCCTCTCAGAAGTACTTATACTTACTTATTTAATATAGTTTTATTAAACAGTTTTTCCCAATTCAATATTTGTGACATGTTATTTCATCCTATTTTAATTTGTTTTTCTGTTTTTACTAATGAAATTGAACATATATTTATATTTATTATATTTTTTGGTGATTTAGTTATAAGTTTATAAATCTTTTAACTTTTCTATTTGCTTGTCTATCTTTTTTTCTTAATATGCAGGAATTATATTTTTTGGATTTGAATTTATTTTTGGTTATACATTTGGCTAACGATATCTCTTCCGAATCAGTGTCTATTGATGTTTAGAAATCAAAGTTATCAGACTTTCTCAAAAATTGTGTTTTTGTATTTTGTTGTAAAAATGATTTAGTGTGTTTATCATCTTTAGCTTTATAATTTTTCATTCCATAACTATTTATTTATTTATTTTAAAATTTAGATTATTATTTTTTTGTTGTTTTTATATTTATTTTATTTTTTCAAAGCTTTTTTTATCATGTTTACTATGTTTCCCTACTATTTATAACACATTCAGTAGGGCTCTTTTATGCATAATTAAAAGCTTCTTATTTTATCAGGCATCTCAATGTGCATAACACATGTGTCACATTATTGATTGGCATTTGTATAAAACTATAGACAGATTCTGAAAACAGTGAAAAGTATGGAAACCTCTCCATAACTATTTATATTATGCCTGTTACCATACTTAATGATTTAAAATCACAAATTGTTTCATATTTCTGATATTAGGATGCATTTATAATTATGTCCTCTATTACAGACCTTTCACTGATTTATTTATCCATTTTGCAGTACTATAACAAACTATCTGAGCCTGGGTATTTTCAAAGTAATAAGATTTATTTGACTCATAATTATGGTGGCTAGAGACCTCAAATCTTAGTTAAAATCTTTGCAGTACCTTAGTTTATTATTTTATCTAGGATGAATTTCATCAGTCATTTTTATATGTTAAATACTGTACGTATTGGGTATGTAGAGATGAATAATACATGGTTTCTTGCTTTTCAAGAATTCATATATTAGTGCACCGGCTTCCAAAGAAGTCCATTTCCATAAGTAGTTTATTGGAATTTGGGAAGAACATAGGAGAACTATTTATTTTTATTCTATTCTATATTTTTTGCTCTATAACATATATTATACAGTCCTACCCATACACAAATTATTTTTTTCCATACACAAATTATTATGATTTAATATGCATAGGTTGATGAGAGGGAGCCAGCTTGTTTGAATAAGGCATTTTAACCTAGTTTTTCATGTAATACGCTACTAATTAAGCTAATGAGATGACCATATTGTTTTCATTTTGAAGGAGAACTTCAGTGACAGCATGGATAGTGTTTTGAAGTGAGGAAGAACAGAAAATAGGGAGGCCAGTTAGTCAGTAGTTATTGAATGTTTTCCCTAGTCTATTCATAATGATTCTACATATATCTGTCAAGTGCTTCCTTTACTGTAGACCCAGTGGACTTGAAGGTGAACATGCTTTTTGTCTTTTCCTGTTGTTTTGGTGAGTTGATGTATATTTTAAGTTGGAAAGCATTTAAGAGGGAATTTAATTACTTACATATATTTGAACAGTTCTTAGACTTTAAAAAAAAAAAAAAAGCCTTGCCTCTTCCACTTTTAATTTTGTGGGTATCTGAGTTCCTCTAACTGACCTAATATACAAGTCTAACATTTTAGTTTTTCAATCTGTTGATGACGTACATTGCATAAAAAGGGTCACACATGAACTGTTAGCATTGAATTTATTAGCATTTCCTCAATAAATACCCTTTACAAACAGTTGTATACCCTGTAAAGAGAACATGTTTTGCCTAATGCCTTTCTCTTGTTGACTTGTCTTACTCCTTATTCTTTTGGATCACCAAAGTCATCATCCTTCCAAAGCTGAGAAAAAAACATACCCTAGCTGTATCTAATGTTCATCCCTGAGGCAAGTGCTGCTGTCCCTGTGTAAACATTAGAATAAATGTTAGGTTACATAATAAAGACTGGAGGAGAGGAAGAGGACAGAAAAGATGGGGGCAAAATGCATGAAAGTGTTCCAGTTGCAGAGAAAAGAAGAGTAGTTGATATTCCTTTGAGGTGATGCCTTCTAATCTAGATGATTACTGTCAACCAGAGAATTCATTATAGATATCTTCCTGTGTATGCATGGATAAGGCAAGTCCACACTCTCAACTCAAAAGTGTACATGCAGTTTTTATTTCATGGTTTAAACATATATACTTTAAGGACACTAAAGGAAAAGTTTACTGGGGAGAAGAGAGGAAAGCTATATTTTTATAACTGTGACTTTGAACATTTTTGTAAACATTATGTAAATATGTATCATTATGAACATTATGTAAATATGTAACATTATGAACATTACGTAAACTTTTTTTGTATTTTCAGAGGATGTATTTATCTACTAAATTCTTAATGCTGTAAAGTAATAGAAGTAAGCAACAAAAAAGCATTGTAGATGATTCTGCTATTTTGATGTGCCATTTACTCATGCTTTCCCAAATTATGTGGATTTTAATTTTTATACAGGTATTTTACTGAATTATGTAAGTAATAAAAATGATTAGTGAGGATATTAATGCTTAAATTCAAATGTGAGATTTTTGGATCAATTTAGAGTAAATTTATGACACTTTTGATCATATTGTTCTCATTTTGAAGGAGAACTTCAGTGACAGCATGGATAGTGTTTTATGTAGTTATAATCTTAAAATAACTGTGTGTATGTAAAGATGTGTTTCTGTCATTAGACTAACTATCTAGACTTGCATAGTGGTTGTACAGGCTGTGCACTAGACAACTGTACAGGATCCTGTTTACATAGACTACTGTATTCATTGTGGCAGTCTTGATAATTATGTTGATAAAATAGTTGCTGAGGTTCAAATTCAAAAAATTGTCTTTTTAATATAGGCCCAGCCAGTTGGAGATTGTGATTTTAATATTCGTCTGCAGTGTATAGAACGAGAAATTATAAATCCTCGACATGAAAAAATGAAGAGTGGGCTCATTGACAAAACACAGGAACCATTTAGTGTCAGAAATAAGCCATTTTTTGACATATATACTTCAAGGAAGGTAAAGTTATTTTTGTTTTCTAACTCATGTATTATAATTCATTTTGTGAGAGGAATATGAATGACATTTTTCCTGTCTGTAATTACTTAAATTGATATAGCACCATTTTGACCAAACTTTTGTGATTCTCAGGCTTCTCCTCTTTAGTAATATTCGCAGTGGTAGAAAACTAAATTAGATTGCTTCCCTGCTTCTCGTAATAGGTTTTGATTCATGGTCCAGATTATGCTTTTTCTTTTTTTTCTGGTACTGGGGATTGTACCCAGGGGCACTTTACTACTGAGCTACATCCCCAATCCTTCTTATTTTTATTTTGACACTAGGTCTGAGGGTGGCCACTTGTGGTCCTCCTGCCTTAGTCTCTTGAATTGCTGGGATTATAGGCATGTGCCACTACACTTGGTTGGTCAATGTTGCTTTTTAAAAAAAGCCGTAAACAGCTTAGAATCATTTAGAGTGAAAACTATTTCTTAGGTGTAATCCTACTCCTGAAGGTAGACATTGTTTGGTATGTATTCTTATTTTTAAAGATGTATTTTGTTTTCCTTGATAATTATATTGATGAATTAGTTGTTGGAGTTAAAATTGGAAAAATTTTCTATTTAATTCATGTCCAGCCAGTTGGAGCTTGTGATTTTTAAAAATTTGTCTACAGTGTATAGAATGAGGAATTACAAATCTTTGACATGAAAAAAATGAAGACTGGGTGTATATATATAGTGTGTGTATACTTTAATATAGAGTATATAAAACATATGTAATATATAAATATACAAATATATTTATTTACACACATTTATATACATTTTACATACACTTTTAGATTGTTTCTACTCTTTTGCTAAAAACAATATTGTTTCATTGTTTGCTTATATGAATGGGTATTTCTTCAGGGTATGTGGAAATAGAATTTTTGGTGTAAAGATTATAGACAGTATTAGCAGCTACTAACAATTTGTCTTCCAAATAAGGCCACTCTAGCAGATGCGAGAACTTGTTTCCTCCTCCACTGCCCACTGTCCTTTCCTTCCTGACCTAGAGGCAAGGCAGAGGTGAGATGAGCATCAGTATTCTAAGGTAGAGGTGAGCATCAGTTCTAGAGCAGGAGACAGGAGTGTTGCCTTGTTCTGTTTTTCTTTTACTGGCTTTGGGATCTTTTCTAATATACTTAAAATTTCTGCCAAAGTTTATTTATCTATAATTTGAGATTATAAAAATTATGGGTTTGTTATGTAAATTTATTGAAGCATGGCTTGTAAATACCTTAGAAAAGTATCTGGCATGTAGAAAAGCAACCAATGAATACAAAATTAATTATTATTATTTTTATTGTATAGGTTTATAAATACTTTTTTTTCAGTTGTTTATATATAGTGTTTTCCATAAATGCAAAGCTCAATTTTATGTAGTCAAATTTGGAAATGTATTTCTTACATCTTCTAGGTTTTCTGTCTTGCTCAGGAAGCACTTTATTGCCAAAATTTTCTTTAAAGTATTATAGTATTGTTAGGATTTTGCGTATTGATCCATTTCTCTCCCCTTCCTCCCTCCCTCCCTTCCTTCTTTCAGACTGGGGATTAAACCCAGGGGCACTCTATCACTGAGCCACATCCTCAGCCTTGTTTTGTATTTTATTTAGAGACAGGGTCTCACTGAGTTGCTTAGAGCCTCTCTTAAGTTGCTGAGGCTGGCTTTGAACTCCCGATCCTCCTGCCTCAGCCTCCTGAGCCTCTGAGATTAAAGGTATACACCACCTTGCCCAGCCTATAGATCCATTTAGATGATATATTTTTTCTTTTATTACATTAGGAAATTGTCTTCTGTTTCCAGTCGGTTTAGCATCTTGTAGTTTCTTCTACTCATTGTCTCTTCTTCATTCCTTGCTATCTCACATGAACATGTTAATTCTGTTTATGCTTAATCTTTCCATTTTCCTGTTTATTCTCCTTTTTCTTTTCTCTTTCCTCTTTTTACATTATTATTTTCATTAGATATTCCTACTACTATTAGTACTACTAAATAGTGTTCACTAGAATGTTTACCACATCTTAACATTTAAAAGTAAATGTATCTTAGAGTTTTTGCAGTTAAGATATGAGGTATATAACGCATATTGACTAATTATTTCCTAAAACATTCTCCATTTCTCACTAGTGCTTTTGTGGGATTTTTACTTATCTGTATACAGATTTCATATAGTGTGTTCTTTTGTCACTCTGGTATGTTAGACTTTTTAGATTCATTGAATCTGTCTCTTAATTTCTTCTCTCCCTTTTCTTTTCTCCTTTTTATTTTTATAAAAACATTTATTATTTATTTTTATTTTTGTACATACATTATTTTCTGAATGTCTGTTTTGGTAGTGGCTTACTTCTTTAATAACTCTAATTGATGGTTTTAATTATTTGAAATATGTTAATTTTTCATCATAAAACTCTACTTTCCTTATGAGAACATTGATACATTTTGAGCATGCATATCATGTGGTCCTCTTCTTGATTGTTCACAGATAAACATTTTAGAAGTTTTTGAAAAGATAAAGTGTCATATTTGGCATTGAAAAGAAGTCTAGTTGACCTTTCCTAAGATGCTTTAAGGAATGATATACCTTTTGTGAAATTTGTCATGTTTCAGAATCAAATTTTTATCTTTACAGATAGAAACTTGGTCTGGGACCCACTTTTTTCTTTTTATATCTTTCTATTATATGTTCACTGCATAGTTGAGCTTTGAAGAGAATAAGCAGGATACTGTATTACCAGTACTTTTACATTAAAATTATACGTGGCACCTAAGACGTTTCATTCTGGTGACAGCATCATAAAAACAAAACAAAAAAAACAAAACAAAACAAAACAAAAAAAAAACCAAAAAAACTATAGCTCTGTATATAATTTGAAGCCTCGTATTGTGATGCCTTCTGCTTCACTTTTCTCAGTAAGAATTACTTTGGCTGTTCTGTTCACTTATTTTTCAAATGAATTTCATAATTGCCTTTTCTAGTTCTGTGAACAACGTCATTGGAATTTTGATGAGAATTGCATTGAATCTGCATAGCACTTTTTGGTAGTATGGCCATTTTGACTAATTCTGCTATCCAAGGACATGGCAGGTCTTTACATCTTCTAAGTTCTTTATTTTTTTCCTTCAGTGTTCTATAGTGTTCATTGTACAGGTCTGTCACCTTTTTTGTTAGATTGATTCCCAAGTGGGCCCCCAACCAAGCTATTGTAAATGGGATACTTCTCATAATTTCTTTTAGGAGAAATTAATTTTAATTTCTAGTAGGAACATGATTGATTTATAGGTATTTATTTTACATTCTATTCTGCTGAATTTATTTATGAGTTCTAAATGTTTTGTTGTGGAGTTTTTTTTTGGGGGGGTCTTTTAAATATAGAATCATGTCACCAGCAAAAAAAAAATAATTTGAATTCTTCTTTTCCAATTTGTATCTGTTTAATTTCCTTCTCTAGCTTAATTGGTCTGTCTAGAGTTTCAAGGACAGTGTTGAATAGGAGTGGCAAACTGGGCATCCTTGTCTTGTACCTGTTTTTAGAGGAAATGCTTTTGTTTTTCTCCATTCAGAATAATGTTGGCCTTGGGTTTATCATATATAGTCTTTACAATGTGGAGGTAAGTTTCTTCTATTCTTATTTTTACAAGTGTTTTTAACATGAATGGGTGCTATACTTTGTCATGCTTTTTCTACATATATTGAAATAATCATGTGATCTTGTCCTTGAGTCTATTTATGTGGTGAATTACATTTATTGAATTCCGTATTTTGAAGCAACCTTGCATTCTTGGGATGAAGCCCATGTGATCATGGTACACTATCTTTTCAATATGTTTTTGTAAGTGGTTGCCAATGTTTTATTAAGAATTCTTCCTTTTATGTTAGCCAAGGATATTGGTCTGAAAGGTCTGAAATTTTCTTTCCTTGATGTGTCTTTAGTTTTGGTAATGATTTGGCAGTGTTCCCTCTTTTTCTATTTCATGGAATAATGTGAAGAAGATTGGTATTACTTCTTCTTGACAGGATTGGTAGAACATGGCTTTGAATCATGTGGTCCTAGGTTTTTCTTTACTTTTTATTTTTGGAACATGGAATTGAACCCAGGGGCACTTAACCACTGAGCCACATCACCAGCCCTTTTAATATTTTATTTAGAAACAGGGTCTCACTGAGTTGCCTAGGACCTTGATAAGTTGGCTGAGACTGGTTTTGAATTCAAGATCCTTATGCCTCAGCCTCCCAAGTAGATGGGATTATAGGTATATGCCCCTGTACCTGGCCTGGATTTTTCTTTGTGGGAAGTCTTTTGATAACTGATTCAATTTCAGTTCTTAAAATTGATCTCTTTAAGTTTTCCATATAATCCTGGTTCAATTTGGGTAGGGGTAGACCATATTTGTCTAGGAATGTGTGTTTATCAAGATATTTTATCTTATTGGAGTATAAATTTTCAGAATAGTTTCTTATAATCCTTTAGATTTTTTTTAGTAGTGTCTGTGGTAACATTTCCTTTTTCATCTCCAGTTTTGATAATGTAAGTTTTTTCCCCCTCTCTTTCATTTGGTTAGTTTGGCTAAGAGTTTATCAATTTTGTTTATTCTTTCAAAAAGTTAACTCTTTGTTTCATTGATCTTTTGTATTTGTTTTTAAAATCTCCAATTTCTTTGATTTTTGGCTCTGATTTTGATTATTTCCTGTCTTCTACTGATTTTGGTGTTGGTTTGTTTTTCTTTTCCTAGTATCTTAAAATGTAATGTTGCATTATTTATTTTATATCTTTTTGTTCTCTTAATGTATGAGCTCAAGGTTATGAATTTTCCTCTTAGAACTGCTTTCTTACTTATCTCAAATTTTAATATGTTGTATCATTATACTCATTTACTTCTAAGAGGTTTTTCTTATTTCTCCCCTGATTCTTTCTGCTATCCGTTCATCATTCAGAAGTTTTTTATTTACTTTCCAGATGTAAGAGTGGTTTTTA